GGACCCTTAGGCAGCGCAACGACCGCACGCCTGTTCAGCGTGCTCCCTGACGCTATAGTAGCGATGTCAGCTTTTTGTGAGCTTTCACGACAGGGACTGTATGGCTACAGCGTCCTATCTACATAGAGTGACGGTCTAAACGTCATGGCGATTTGCAAGCTTGTAGAAATCTTGCAAGGTTGGGAATGGGAGCACCGCTTGATGTACAGGGAATGGCTTGAGCCGAGGAGCTGCGCGCGACCACCATGAAGGAAGGTCAGGCACTTAGTCCAGGTTTGGATCTTGAAACAACGCGTCGCGTGAGCAAACATGCACGCGCCCGCACGGCTCGATAGTCGACTATTGTATAGAATCTGGCCCTGCACTAGACCCTAATCGATACCGTCTAATGTCATCGTATTGCTCCCTTGGCTGTTTTTGACTGCGCACATGCTTAAACGCAAGCCCTCGCGCGACCTGGTCCCCAGCGGCGGCCCCCACGTCTCCATCTTTAGCAGCGACCCCACGCTTAGTCGTCATAAGCGGAAGCGCTCGCTCTTCCGTTCCCAGCACAACAGGGCGCAGTGGGTACCCGAGCCAGAGCGCGACATGAGTGAACTGCTAGATTTCGTTCTGCAACATGAAGATGCCTTCAAGAAGTGAGTCCACCCATATATCGGCGACACCCTCCAGGGCTGCATTGCTGACTAGCACAGCCAGCATCGCCTTGCATCGCTCTATGCAGACTTTCGGCAACAGCTCGAGATAAACCCCGAAGGCTACCATGCGAACATCGCCGCATGGACGAAAGCTCTCGTCGACGCCTCGCGGGCGGGCGTCATCCCGAGGCAGGGCACCACCCACGATCTTCTGAACATACGAGCCGCCGAGGAGCTCGCGCGAGCCTTACAACACCCACAGTATGGCAAGCCCACCTGTCTACCGGCTGTATTCCATGAGGCAGTGCAAAAGAAGGAGATGGTACCTTTGAAGGACTTCATGTCGTCAAAAGAGAGCATATACAAGACATCGTGGATACCTTCGCCGTGGCAGGTGCTTCAGTGGAGCTTGCGGCAGGTTGGGGTCCTGGGGCAGGTACGGGCGCCGGCCAAGATGGAGGTCGGGAACTTCGTCGTCGTCAAGAATGTCGAAGTTGCTGCGGACGAGATACTCAAGAAGATGAAGGAGCACGTATCCACGGCTGACCGGGTACTATCGAAGACAGACTTCTTGAAACGTTTCGCGACTATACTAAATCCGACTGCACCACTTACGACGAACGACCTCGATATACTCCTCGTATTTCTTGCCCGAGACAAGCAAGCGATATCTCACAATGATCAGACGATCAAGTTCAAGCCAGAACATGAGGCTGTCCCCCTGCCTGTCACAGAAGAAGACGCCGCTATTGCCAATCTTCGCGACACACTAGCGAATATCAACGCGCAGATACCGCCATTGATGGAGAAGATTGCTCTGGCCGATGCAGCCGCACGGGAAGCCGTAGTCGCGAAGCAGATGGTCCGCGCCAAAGCTGCTCTGCGCTCCAAGAAGCTTGCCGAAAACGCTCTCGCTCAACGTTCGGATGTCGCCCTCCAGCTCGAGCAAGTCTACACCGATCTACAACAAGCCGCTGATCAGGTCGAGATCGTGGAGGCCATGCGAGCTGGTGCAGCGGCCCTCAAAGGTCTCAATGAGAAGGTTGGCGGTGCAGAGGGTATTCAGGGTGTTGTCGATGCCGTCAACGAACAAATGGCGACCACGGAAGAAATCACAAATATCATCAATGAGACCGACCAGCCTCTTGATGAGGGCGAGATTGACGATGAATTCGAAGCACTTGAGAAGGCGGATCGCGAGAAGCGCGAGAAGGAAGAGGCCGAGAGGACCGCTGCAAGGCTAGCAGAGCTTGAGGCAGTGGAGAAGAAGCGCAAGGAGAGGGAAGCTGCAGACGAGGAGCAACGGCAGAAGGAGGCAGTTGACGCGGGCAGAACGGAGAAACAGGTCGATGAGGCGTCTCAGAGTATGGCAAGGATGTCTTTCCATCAGCCGGATGATGAGATGGAAGATCCTGAGGAGGAGAAGCGCACACCTGCTTATGCCTAGGCATGCTTTGAGTATTCTGCGTTCAAATGGTTTATCTGCATAGCATCGGCGTTGCGGGATCTTATACCACAGATCAGATACCTAGGTACTGATGGTACACTACGCATTCATCATTTTGAAGAAATGTTACACTTTTACATATACAGCAACTATACACTCGCCAGACGATACTTGTTCTTTGTGCTGCAATTTAAGTTTTGACAACAATCCCTGTGAGCCCTGGAGCAGCTCGACATCTCATTGCTCCTTCGCTCCGGCGCCACTAGCCGGCGCCACGCCAAGCAATCGCAGGGAACGCGGAACCTCACCTTGACGACGACACAACCAGCACCTATCAACCCCCATCACAACCCGCTGCTCCTACGCCGGGACCGAACCAACCCACTCTACGTCTGCCTCAGCCCTCGATCCGCTCGCCTGCAGACCACCATGAACTCCGTCCGCGCCGCGACCAGCGCCTCGCGCACCGCCCTCACCGCTTCGGCTCGCACAGCAGCTCCCCGCCGAGCCTTCTCACAGTCACAAACGAAGCGATCAGGTCACGGACCCAGCTACGATCCCCCATCCGGATGGCTCTTTGGCGTCAAGCCCGGCGAGCAGTATGAGAAGGAGGGGTGGGAGAACGCCATGTACTGGGGCTTTGGAGGAGCTTGTGCGTTTGGCGTTGTGGCTTACGCTTTCAAGCCGGATACTAGGTATGTGCAAATTTCGTGTTGGAGGGAGATGAGTGGGGATCGTGCGGGGTGGGTGAAGAGGTGGAATAGGAGGGAGGGGTTATGAATGGGCGATGGAAACAGCTCCCAAAGAAGCGGCAGAAAGAGTGCAGCGGCAATGCATTGGTCGCGCAGAGACTAACACCCCACCAGCATCCAAACCTGGGCCCTAGAAGAGGCGCGACGAAGACTCGAAGCCGAGGGTATCCTCGCAGACCCAGACACCGTCAAGAAGGAGTAAAACGACACCTTCAGCAAGTCAGCAAAGACCCTAGACATGGGGTGGAAGTCTTACAGCAACACCACGGAAACTGTATATATGCTAGTGGGGACGAGGATGCGACACCTTTTTCTTTTGTGAGCTTGGATCTGGATGGGCTAGACGCTCGATAGACTATGCAATGATGGCTGAGTAGCCGAGGGTAGGCAATTGTATTTTTTTGTTATGGAATCTGGTGAACGGCATGTCCACGGGTATGTGGTGTGATGCTGATGATCCTGCGCAACCTTTGGCTATGTGCAGGTGGTAGACGATGTTTGTCGATATTTCAGAGGCTGCTGAGGCCCGCGTACATGAAGCATTTTCACTTCGGCCAATACGTGAGGCTGTTCTTTCAAGACACAATCTTCCTTAGGGATTGAGAAATGCCCTGGGGCACTCCTTCCTTCCCCCAGGCCAACACTAGCTGCTTCGGGTTAGTTATCGCTGTGCCGCAGCTCACAGGAGGGCACGTCACAATCTTCGCACCTACAGCCTTAGAAGCCATCACTACCGTCCTCCATTACGCCAGACTCAATACTCTGATCTTTCCCGCCAGAATGCCGCAAAGCCAAAGCGCACTGTTACGCCTACCTATAGAACTCCGGCTTCAGATTTACTCATACCTGCTGCCTAACGACGTCCACCTACGCCTCCGAAATGGCACGCTCCTTGCATCGGCCTGTATTCAAGGCGGTGCCCCTTTCCGCGGCGATGTATCTAGTTACGACATTGAATACACCGACGAGACTTGGCAAGTTCATGTGCCCACGTCTGTGTACGCCCGTCGTCTACAGTCAACCTGGGGTCTTCACTGGTCGTGCGAGGAACACACCTCGTTGTCACACTTCTTGTTGACTGAATGTACGGACATTCCCAATCTTCTGAACATTTTCCCGGGCGTGTAAGTACATTGGAAGGCTTGGTGTCAAGCGCTTACGCCATTAGTCGTAATGAAGTGTACGATTTCCTTGCTCGTACTTCGACTATCCATGTCTCCGACCTGGACCTCATCGATTACTGGGCAAGAGCTTCGGAGGTAACTATGCCAGTCTCTTCCGAACTCGCGAAGATGCCAGTATTAAATGTCAGTCGTCTGAGTATCACGCTCAAGCTTCCGTTAGCTTTCTTCCAGTCAGTGGAGGGACTCTCAGGCAACTATCCTACATCCTCAGAAATAGGTCCAGCAACGCAGCCAGCACGTCTTTGGCAAGATTTGGGCTCCATTCTCAGTCGTTTCGAAGCTCTCAAGAAGCTGGACTTGTGGCTCGATCATAATGAGCCGCAATTTTGGGTAGTGGTCAACGAGCGCTCGACCCTTGACCCTCTTCTCATACAACTAAGTAGTCATCCCAATCTCGACGTCACCGTCATGCTACCCATGCTTCACCCGAAATTTGAACAGAACGAGCGACATTACACTGGAGACAGCATCTCGGGGAATATTCGAGTGAACAGGGTGTTGAGATCGAAAAAGCATGCTGTTATTGGTGCTCAAGGATGTATCGAAATTGTTGCATGCAACGACTTTCCATTGTTCTCCGAGACATATCAGGCGAGAGGGATGGGTTTGTCTGCGTTGGTCGGACGGGAGCGGGAACAATGGAAACAAGGGCGCGATGTGGAGGATCAGTACAGAAAGCTTACGAGGGGTCGGTACTCAAATTGGTATCCCTAGACTGTAGCGTAACTAGTCATCGGTCATCGACTCGTTGCTTCTATAGTCACACATCACAGTGCTGACTGCATCATTTTCTACTGGTGTGAGCTGCAAAAGGGCGCGGAAATTTAGCGATGCCCTCATTTTCACCGCTCATGTGAGCGTTTGCCCCTTCGTCAACTTGTTTAGCGCAGTCACCTTCTGTCAACAACGATTTGTGGTGAACTTACTTTCGATATCACGATCCAAACGACTACTCTGTCGAAATCCATCTGCCACGAGCATGGCGAAGAAGAAAGCAGCAAAAGCTCGCTTGAGCGATACGAGCGATGAGAGCGAAGTGGATGGCAGCGTACCAGTAACTGCGCCTACGACTCCGCTACTTCGTAGAGCAACACGCTGACACTATACTGGCAGAATATCGACGATCTCGCTACTTTCATCGAGGCCTACAAGCAGCTACAAACCAACAACACAAACTTACGCAACAAACTCGCAGAGCGCAAACGCGAACATGACCAAACTAAAGTTCAACTCGAAAAGGCGGCACATGCCAAATACGCTGCTGAGTTCGAGGCAATGCGAGAGGAGATGAGCGTTATGCGGCAAGACAAAGCGGGCTGGATAGAATCTATCGAAGATCTGGAGTCTGAAGCATTGACTGCCAAAGACAAGGTTGCAACTCTTGTGGCTGAGAAATCGAAGCTTCAGCGTTCGGTGGTAGAACTCCATGGAGCCATGGCAGGATTGTACCAGACGATCGAGGAAGGCAACAAGCGCTTTAATGAAGTCAAGGAGCGAGTGAAGGCCTTTGCGACCGAGCTCTAGTTATTCAAGGGGGCGACACACGCGAACAGCATGGTAGATACGTCAAGTACAACGAATGCAATCAATTTGTCTCTATATGCACACTTCTAGATCCACCTCAAGTATATACAATTGCGAAGCCAAACGAGAGGACAGCCGGAGGGAATCCACAAACTCTTACAGTACCGAGCTCCAGTCCTTTTCCAGCATCTTATCCAACAACCTCATCGAGCGCTTATGCGGGCTGGGCGAAAGTAGAGCCAATGGGTCCGAACTTGATGTTGGAGAAGACGACAGTGGCGCCAGGCGAGTTAGCCTCAACATCCTCAGGCTTGCCAGAGTCAGTAGCGCAGGTACCACGGGCAGCACCAAGCTTGTCAGGGCTAGCATCGGTAGGGTAGGTGGAGTCGAGCCAGAGCATGTTGACCGCATGGTCGTCCCAGAGGGACATGACGAGGACGTGTCCGCGAGCAAGCGAAGCACCCATGCCGTTGAGGCCACCGAGGGTCTTGAAGGAGTTTGTGTCACCGAAAGTGGTCTTCTGCGCCTCACAGAAGGACTCGGTGATGGAGTTACCGGAGACGCCCTCGATAGCGGAGTCGGAGTTCTTGAAGACCTTTCCGCCTTGGATGTAGAAGCGCTTGATGTCAGAGAGGCTGGAGCCAGAGCCGATGAACTGGGTGACAACGGTCATCTTCTTGGTGGTGTCGAGAGTCATGCCGGGGCCGTAGAAGTCCTTGACACCCATGCGGTAGCTGTTGAAGTCACAGCCGTCCTTGTCGCAGAGTCCGCCGTAGCGGTTGTCGCCGTCACCGCAGCTGACCTCGTCAGTGCACTCCTGGAGACCAGTGCCCTTGCAGGGATGGGGAGTGTAGGCAGTGGAGATGGAGTTGGCCTCCCAGATGTCCATCTCGGGGCAGCAGGCACCGATCTTGCCGGAGCCGGCGTTGGGGTCGGCGTCGGACGGGTTCCAGCCCTCAACGTTGGCTACACCGTTGATGAACTTGATGTCGTGGGGGCACTGCGAGTCGCAGTATCCGGTTCCGTACTTGGCACCGGCCTTGTTGTTGCCTTTGTTGATGCCACCGTCGGCGGCCATCTCGACGAAGTAGAGAGCACCGTTCAGACCGCAGGGTAGCTTGGAGACATCGACATCGAAGGTGAACTCCTTGCCGATCAGGTTGAACATCTGGTACTTGGTGTCGCTCTCCATGAGGTAGGTGCGAGAACCAATGTTTGCAGCGTAAGAACCCTTGGTGACGAACTGGAGGCTCAAAGAGTTGCTGCTGGTCTTGATACCGTAGGTGCCTAAGATCGTTAGCTAAGGGCTTCACATGTTGTGTCGTGGACATGTTAACGTACCAGAGTAGTCAGCACCGTCGATAGCGCAGTTCTTGGTGCAAGTGCTGCCGTCAGGGCAAGCGGTCGTGTTCCAAGAGTTGCCGTCGTAGCAGTTGGTGTATCCACTGGTGACATGAGACCAGCGCCAGTTGGCATCGAGCGTAATGGAACCCTGCTTGGTGGTGCAGCTGTTTCCACCGGTACCAGTGCAAGTCTGCCATGTCAACTTGGGGTGTGTCTCTGCTGTCGATGTGCCAGCCTGCTGAGCGCGGGCGGCTCCGAAGAGCGAGAGCGAGGTGAGGGCGAGTGTCCTGTACATTTTGGCTTCTTGAGTGAAGATATGTTGTTGGATGTCGAAAGCATTGGAGCGATGGGCTGACCTTCTTATACAACATTCTTGAGCTCATGGCTACTAATCAAAGTACTCTGCAGAAGTACCCATATGACTGTTGATTATTGCAAGGTGCAGGAGATCTACACCCTTGACGTCCCTCTGTGATGTTCTCACCAATGCTGTAAGAGGAACGGAACATCGGGAGCGCAAAAGAACGCTAGGAGTGCCAGAGTAATGAAGGATAGATGAGGTATGCCCTGTTGCGCCGCATCGTGGGGTAGTCTGGGGTATTGCGGAGATCTGTGCGCCACCACGCCCGGGATCTTTGCCTTAAAGAGATAGTGTAGGGAGTGACGAATGGAGAAGCATATGGAGACGTACTATCAACCGTCGGCTTCACTGGTGGCCAAGTCTTAGCCTTCCGTCTCATTCGACAGTGATGGGTCAGCCTCGTATGTGAGAAGGCAAAGCTGTGGATCAGCACTCGTAGCTGTGTCCTTGATATTTGCATACAGTATTGTGGCTGGGTCACGAGTGACCGCATGTGCACACACCACCCAGGAGAATACATCATGCTGGCTTTCACAGTAAAAAGATACGCGACGATGTATACTCCAATATGTGTTGTACCTTGGGTACAGCTCAGGACCATATCGCGTTGTTTTGTGCAATTCCACCCGGTGAGCTCAAAACCCGGTAGGAATAGATTGCTTTTTCCATGATCCATGGGCATATACGAGAGACTTTTCTAGAAAGATTTTCCGGACTGGGGGGGCACACTTAATCTGTAGCAGAGGTCATGAGGCTCAGATCTTTTCCCGGGTAACGGTTTGGGCGTGAAATCCAATACGAAGAAAGAAGACTGAGATACGTACTTCGTTGGGAGCGGCACAAGGATACAGTCAGGTAAGTTGCATTGAGCCCCTCCTTCTGTTGCTCGAGTCTCATTGCTGTAGTAAACAACCATGACTGGCGCTGCTTGACATGCCGGTGTACGAATGGTATCGTCAGAGACTGGCCAGTATGTTTCCCCGTGTTGAAATGCATGAGAAGCATTGAGGCAGTTTCATCAGGTGTCCTTTCGTGGTGGAATGCAGGTACCGAGTTGAAGCGCCGAACCCTGTAAGCAAAACGAAGCTTCCGGAGCAGACGGGACGAGACCCTCACCCACAATTGGCTATGGATTTCAGAGCTTAATCAAGTAGCCCTGAGCCTTAGCAGAGTGGCATCGACCGGATTTCTCGGTCGAACTGCTAGTGCAGAATAGATTGAGGTCCAGGGGTGCCCGCTCGCCAAGACCGGAACATCCCAAGGTTCGCCATAAATTTGTCCGCCTGCTAGGCCGTTGGCAAGCAAAGCTTGTGACAGAAGACCATCAACGCGTCGTTTGGATCGTGGGTTATGGCAAGTCTCCAAGTAGCGCTGCACCGCAAAGACGCAGATGCTGTCTCCCAGGATGGTTTGTTGTGCATGACGTCCGAGGTTCAGCCTAATCTTCCAGCAACGTGCAATATACGTTCCGGCCACTCGATATGAACTCCGCACCAGTATTCGACGATCACAGGTTCTCGGTGGTTGCGACCCAGGTGGGCGGCAGTTTTCCAGGGCTTAGCGAATCAGGTGCGCTGTCATATACTGCGACCGGGTATAACACATTGAGCCGCAATCATCGTGACAGCGTGACCTCACAACACGGCCCAGGGGCACAAAACGCGCAGTTCAGTGGACATGCTTTGCTGGTACCGAGTCTGCATCACTCTGCTTGAAACCGAGAGTGAGATACGTGGCTCCGGAAGCATAGATTGGTCGCATACCTGGGTACACTTCAGAGTCTTTAGGAAGTTCAAAGACTTGGGCAATTCGTATGTTGTCACCTACGTAACGTATTCCGACATGTATCGCAAGTGAGAAGCATCTATGTAGTAAGTAGGGAGATGGGTTGCGATGGTGTTTGGAGGTTGGACACCCCCCAAAGTGGGCAGGAAGGGTCCAAAGGCCTAGACCTCAAGAAGGCTAGCGTATCCCCCCGCACCTCGAGACATCGCCCGGGCGAAGTCTAGGTACCTAGGTACCTGATGCTAGGTTATCACTTTGAACTATTCTCCGTCTTTACAAGCCTCTTTCCGTTCAGATTTACTTCTAGTCAAGATTCTTCCATGATGTAGGCATATCGCCTGGTATGTGGTATATTGCCCAACTCCGAAATGTCTATATCTAAACCTACGCTGTGTACCCGGTAGACTCCTACAATGAAAGGTGGCTGCAGGTACTCAAAGAAAGCTAAATAAGCTTGGAAAACCAGAAGAACGTCTAGAAAAGTCCATGCCCATGACGAGCATCTAGCCGAATCAACTCTTCAGCAACATCTCTCGCAACATCTCGTGTGTCTTCAGCGTACTTCCGAGCCACTGCTTCGTTCTCTTCTCTTGTTCGCCAATACCTCGGTCTTGCACTGGACCGTCTGATCTCATCGGGTCCTTCTTCAGAAGTATTCCTCCTCATGAAGGACCGATAGATGCGAGACTTGGGTGCGCTGCTAGCCGCCACAACCCCAGGGTGAGTAGCCTCTTTCGACCCATCTTCCACCTCCGCAGCCTCAAACGCACGTCTGACAGATCCCGCAGGTCGGCTGGTAAGTCTCACGAGACAAGTATTGGCCCCACTACCCTCAGCACAGCTTCCTACTCCATGCGCTCTCCATCCTGTCTCGAACGGCGTCCTTCCCGTACCCAGATCCCGCCAGCTCTGCACCACCAACCTGACCTGTCCGCCTGTAGCGTGCGAGAAGTCTTGGCTGGTCACGCTCCAATCCGTCGCACAGGTGGAGCAGTTCTGCGTGAACTGGTACTTCCAGCCTCGGCGGATGACGTTGTCGATGGCGGCCATGATACCCGTGTGGCCGTTTGGCGTATCGCGGTGGCCTGTGACAATGTGTGGGAGGAGAGGCCAGAGCGACTTTAAAAGGTTGCGATTACGCGTCGTAAAGGCTGGCAACACAATGGCGTAAGAACTATGCAGCAAGAATCGGCCGTTGACTATCCTGGCGGAGACAGTGAGTTTGGTAGGAACGGGTGTCCTGGAGATGCGCGCCATATCTTTCTTCTCGTAAGTAAACGCAGATAGGGGAATGCCGTGATCGTCTCCCCGTGATGCGCGGTTGATGGCAAGTCGAACGTGGTGAAAGCGAAGTTTGTAGCCGTCTCCAGCGTCTAAGTAGCTGTTATAGTCGGCACAGTCTCTCCTCTTTCTTGAATATTGCTGGTTCTTTGGCCCTTCTTCCGCGGCCCATGCATGGAATTTGTCACACCAGCCGCAGAACCAATGGCCGGGAAAGGCGCGCTCTACTACCGCCTCGATAATCTTTCTCTTCTCAAAACGATTCTTGCTTCCCTTGACATGGCGAGACAGAACTTCGGTGCCGAGAGCGTAGTAGATGTAGCGGCCGGATAGACAGAAGGCTGCTGCCGACGCAGTGTCGAGATACGTATTGACTTGCTGGATAAGCTCGAGTGGGAGAGTAAGTACTGGAGCTTTCGGTGACTGTGGTGAGGGTTTGATTGTAGCCAGGGAGTCTGTAATCTCGTACTCTTCAAAGGTGGAATCTATGCTCGTTCTAGAGCTTGCGGTATCGGATGCCGAGTCGATGGTCGAGGGACGTGATGAGTGTGAGGAGCCAAAGCTCATAGATCGACGGAAGATGTTCATTTTTGCGTCTTGAACTATCTCTTCACTACCCGTGTGGTCGTTATGAGGCTCTCGAATTCTGAGGCTGAGACCAATATAAGAGTACCATAAAGGGGCAACAGACGCTATAAGTCAACACTGCCAGCGTATAAATTTAATAACAAGGACTAGTCAACAACACATCAAGAAAGGTACCGACATAGCCGTTGCAAGCTCGACGCCGTCTCGCGCGCGGCCACTGCATCCCCTTATCAATGCGCCTGGCCTCCGGCCGCCAATGCACGACATGTCATCCAGCCGCGGTTTCTAACGGGGCCTGACAGTGGCACGCAACGCACATGGCACCTCGAGTCCAGGCACATGCCTACCACTTTGCCGTTGTCAGGGTCCAGCAGACGTATCCGGCGGTGTAGGTGAGACAGCCGTCATTCACCTGATGTGCTTGGGCTAACCGAAGTGGGGCTAGGTGCAACGTGTGTGGTGGGGTGACCCGGTGGACGCTGCTAAGCGCCCTGACTGCGCCGCCACTCTTGCCCTACAATCTTGGAACGCGTAAGATTTGGTGCCAGATGAGTCAGAGCTTAGGAGCACGTCGGGCGAGAGAATGTCATTGTTGTTCCTCCTTGTGGTGAAGAGATTAATTTGCGAATAGAAAACGCTATGCTACGCGGAAAATAGTGGTAGATCTGACGAGCTTCGCTATCGTGCGATTCTGCCCGTCTGATGTACGCCAAAATGATAGATGTATATGGTACACGTGCGCTTCTGGTTCGAGAATGCGCAACCCTAGGTCATGTCATTACAACTTCTGGCTCTGTCATAAATCATCCCCTCCCCTCGTCCACAAAGCCTGGTAGGCCAGGAACGCGCCTCAGACGCGGTCTACTTGGGCAGCTCCGGATTTAGCTTAAGCTGGGGGACTGGCGGGCCAGTTCCAGCTCTCCGCCTCCGCTCGCGCTCGTTGAAACCAACAGGCTGGTCTAGTTGTGCGGTCTTCTTGAATTTGCCACCCAAACTGCGCATCCAGTCCTCGCCCTCGCCGGCATCAGCACCAAGCCAGTACTTGGGCGCACCGCTGAGCATGACGCGTCCTAGTTGCCCCTTCCAGCCGCTTCCCTCTTCTTTGCCTTCTGCGAAAGGGTTTTCAGCGAGATCGTTTGCGGACGTCTGCATGTTGTTCGAGTTGTACCATGCGGCGGAGGAGGCGTTTGCGGCGATGTGTTGGCGGAGGCACTGGCGCGCGAAAGCCAGCATGATGAAGACGAAGTAGACGCGAAGAGCCCAGAAGCCAGAGATGAGCGAGATGCTCATGATGCTTCCGCTTTGGAAGACGGCGTTGCCCAACCCCGCGCCAGCATCTCCGCCTTGTCCGACTGCTACGGCGTTCTGACCAGATTTCAGGCCGTCGGTGGGCTCCGCGATAATATCGACCTGTGTGACGTTGTGCTTGGGGCTGGTGAAACCCGCGTTGTCCTTCATGCCCGGCGATAGTCCGGCATTCTCGTCTGGGTGCGCGGCGAGCGTGTAGAACCACGCGATGCCGAAGAAGGCTGTATATAACGCGTTGATGACCGAGTCGAGCGCATACAGGTGCGCCAGCAATACCGACTCGAAGGGACTTTGTAACCGGATGTGCTTGTACAGGAATGTGGTAGCGAGGAGTGCGACGGTCGAGTAGAGGTACATGGACAGCTGGAAGCCATCGATCTTCGCGCCGGTAAGAAGCGCAAGGAGGCCGTAGACTCCCGACGCCTTGTTTATAACTTGGAGGTAAGTAATGATCTCGGCCCCCGTCCGAAGAGACATCTTCTGGAGGAACGTCTGCGCGCGGGTCAGTCCTGTCCATTTTAAGGTTTAGATTCACTTACCGTGGGACGTGGGATATCGAGGATGTTCATCGTGGCTATTATAGGGAGATGACGATGGGAGTGAAAGAGTTTGGGTGACGATGTTCGTTGTTGCAAGGCGCAAGTACTGCGGAAGGCCCGGGAGATTTAGCGCCCCTTTCAATACATGCGAGTCGTGGTCGTGCAATCCCTCCATCCATGGATATACTTTGTACCATGATTCGCGCAGACCTCATTCACACTGGATTCATTATATTTGCGTTAGAATGCCATATCTCCTTTAGGTTTCATCGTTGCTGGTGTTGCGCCTACTAATTCGAGTCTCGCCGAGTCTTGCGCCAGCTATGACGCATCCGCGACAACATCACGCGGCGCGCCTTCCACGCTTACTATCCCAGCCCCATGTACATATTTCGCCCTCGTCACCAAGTTCCAATCTTCAGCCAGCTAACTTATATGCCGGCCATGAACCACTCTATTTGGATTCTCCTATAAACGTCTTTGGCACCTTCACGACCATAACTTCCCTGGCTGTCCTCCGAATAGACAGGTTGACGGAGTAGCCGATAGTTACAGTTTGTGTCGTAGTTTCTCAAAAACTAAGGTGTTTGTTAAAGCGTAATCCAGGTAGAAGTATACATTCTCTTAGAAACGATCCATTTACCGAGACTTAAGAGTGTGCATGCAGCAAAGGCAACACAAGTTCTAGGTCCCCCTTGTATAGGTAGTCTATAATGACGTAGCTTGACATTCAGCCCTCACTTCTCTCAGCGCGTACATGTCGCACCATATTGCATTCTATTCAACGTGTATATTCGGAATCGAAATTCTTCCACCCTCGCACCTAACACCCTTCTTCGTGTTTAGATATATTACGTTGATTAGTCCCAACATGGCAGACTACCAACCTCCAGCGCCAGCGCTACAGGAGCAGGATCTCAAGGGCAAAGTTGCCATTGTCACGTAAGGCTTCACTTTCTTCAACGATGCCGCCAATACCACTTCGAGGGGATCAAATTACTTGACACTTTTCTTTCTTTCATAATGATCCCATGACACACGCATTCTATCGGCTTCCCATGTCAGCATGCACCCCACCAAAACCCAACTACTTGTAGCACACCGATCTAACAACTCCCAAGCGGAGCATCAAAAGGCATAGGCCGCGCTATATCCCTCTCCCTCGCAACCCGCGGCTGTTCCATCTTAGGAACCTATTCATCCCCTCAATCCGCCCATATCTTCGACACACTCTCCAGCACAGTCCGCAACCTCTACGCTGCCACCGAAAGCAAAGCTCCAACTATGCGAGGCGTAGCCGCAGATATAACATCTCTCTCCTCTGTCGACACTCTCCTCACAGCCCTAGCAACCCACTTCCCGGATCAGAAACTCAGCATCTTAGTCTTGAACGCCTCACATAATACGCGACCTAGACTGGGCAGCGCAAGCGAAGATGATATCAATAATTCTTTGACGGGAAATTTGCACTGGCCGATCGTGCTCATGGAAAAACTCGTTCAACAAAGTCTCTTCACGACGCATAGCCGCGTCGTAGTCATCTCGTCCGACCGCGTGCGGGACCCATCTCCCGGATCCGGGTTATTCAACGCGACCCGTACAGCCATGGAGTCGCTTGTACGCTCGTGGGCCATCGAGTTGCCACACAACTCTCCAGGCACCACGGTAAATGCCGTGTCGGTGGGGCTGACAGATACACCTGGACTGCGCGCCTTTCCTGCAGAAGCCGTGCAGGCGTTGAAGAAGCAGAGATTGCCGAAGGTGAAAGTTTATGAGGGAGGAAGAATGGGCCAGGCGGAGGATGTGGCGGATGTTGTGGGGTTCCTGGTGAGTGAGAAGAGTAGGTGGGTTACTGGGAGTGTGATTGCGGCGAATGGAGGGGCTGAGTGGGTTGGTGGGAGTGCGTAGATGGCCGTGGATAGGAGGGGTTTATTTTCAGTTTTGTACTTCATGGTATGTGTGAGAATATATGTTGTCACTCAGGGAGAATGATGGGTGATAGTACACATTCTGCATTTAAGGTACAAATCATATGAGTCGGCCTTCTTCGTGCTGTCGGTCGCCCGTCCAACGAAGCGGGCCTCGATTCGTTGGTATAGTACATGTCTAACTTTCTAGCGTCTCGTCGTAAGTGTGCAGGCCAACCCATATCATGGTCTTGGCTGCTATATTACAACAGACATCAGGTATGTAGGAGAATATATACAACTCTACGCCAAATTTACAATCCTTGATACATGCATTCATACAAAGCTCGTCTAATTCACGGGACGTACGGCTTCGCTAGAGTTAGCCGCATACTGTGCTCGGCCTTTGAGAAGGTCGTTGACTTCGTCTGAAAGCTTGGCAGTTCGCTCCTGGTGTTCGGCTGCAAGCGAATCCAGCTTGGTGGCTGGTAGATCATCAGGGTATTCGTTTACATCGTCGGTGGTTGCGGGCTCGTCAGAAGCCAATCGCGGATCGGTGAGAATATCCTTCGCTTCCTCTGGCATGCCCGGTGGTACAGAGATGTGATGCTTCAAAGCCGCAACCTGGGGGCCGTCGACTTCATTGGTCTCAGGCTCTGATACCATCGATCTCCTTGCTTGTTTTCTGGTAGTCTTCATCCGCTTCCTCGCCTGCTCAATGAAAGAGAAGTCGTTTAGTGTTTTCTCGATCTGATCTTCGACGAGTTTCTTTGTGTGGTTGGCCAGGGCTCTGGTGGTGAAGACGTTGGGAAATCGGTAACTCAGCCATAGGTAGCATACCAGCATCTTGTGCAGTTCCTCCAGATCGTGGAGATACTTGCGCTCAGCAGACGAGGGCCGGTCCATGACGCTGAGTGGCAGAGTGTCAAGATCCAATAGGCTACCCGACTTGCCTTCAGCAATGCATTCAGCGAGGTGGCGCAGAAACGCTTTCTGGGACGGTTGGCGCATGTTGATGGGTGCGGCACATAACATGATTCGGTCTTGAATGCTGAGATTTTTGACCATGTGAATGGCGTCAGCAATCGCCAGCTGGTCTTTTAGTGCACAGAGATGGAATCGAGGGTGTAACTCAGAGATCTCATGTAGACGTAGCATAATGTATCCGAAAGGTGTTCCCGGGGGGAAGTAGTTGGCAACCCGCTCAACGATAAGCGACGGCGGGAAGAGGCCGGCTGTGCTGATGTGTTCGGGCTCACGCTTCATGCCCAATTTCAAGGCCGCGTGGTCGACTTGGTCAAGTGTAGTGACCCATCCTATAGTCTTCTCTTCAGGTCTCTTTGCCTCGACAGTATCGGGTTGCTTGTCGTCTAGGCCAATAGCGGGGTCAGCGGCGCCGTCAACAATCGAAGCCTGTTCGGAGTCTGTAGTGACTGCTTGCTGAGCAGTTTTATAGCGCCCAGCACGGCCGGCGATTTGTTTGATCTCGGAGATCTGCAGGGGCACGTAGTTCAGGCCGTTACTCTTGATAGTAGATTCGAAAATGACACGCTTGATAGCACTACATTGGTTAGCATCCGGGTATTGAAAGACAATATGACACACTGCTTACAGGTTGAGACCCATGCCGATGGCATCACTCGCCACGAGGTAGTCGTAGTCATTGTCTGGGTCGTTGAACAAGCGGGCTTGTTGAGCTCTTGTCTCAGGTGGCAAGCCTCCATATACGATAGCGCACTTCTTGCCTGTCTTCTTCTCCACCTCGCGTCGCAGCGCATGTATACCCAGGACGGTGAAAGCAACGATACAATCACCTTTCTCAAGGAGTGTGAGGTTGCCTCCCAGACTCTTCGGCTGGATCTGAAGTGGCGTCAGACGCTCGTACTCGTGTACGTGCACTTTATCGCCAACAAGAGCGCAAAGCTCGCGCATCAGTGGTACTGTGCGTGCTTCTCCGCAGAGATGAATTTCTTTGGCCTGTAGACCCATGAAAGCCTGTGTCCATGCCCAGCCCCGTTCCTGGTGGTTGATCATCTGTATCTCGTCGATGACAGCCACATCAAATCTGGTATTGAGCGGGGCCATTTCGACAGTACAACTATACATGTTGGCGTGTGTGTCCTCGGGCAAGCGCTGTTCTTCACCCGTAACCAGAGCGCATGGCTTGCCCTTTGCATTCAGGCGCGTGTAGACCTCGTGGGCGAGGAGCCGCAGCGGACCAAGGTAGATGCCCGAGTTGACTTCCTCCAGACGCTTCAGGGCGTGGTACGTCTTGCCAGAGTTGGTCGGCCCAACGTGCATGTGTACTGTCCGCGTAATCTCCCGTGTCGCTGGATACCATTCGGCTGGGTAGCGCAGGTCCGCCACCTCCTTCTGGTTCTCCGCCTCGGCCGTCGTGAAGCGGCCGCCACATGCTTGCGCATAGAACAAATATCGTAGCCTCTTCTCAAGTGTGTTCTTTCTCCGCTGGGCCTCCTGCACCAACGTGACCAACTCACGCGGGGCCTGCTTGATCCATAGGGTGATAGATCGCTCGAAGGTAGTCCATTCCTTGTCGAAGTCTTCGCGGCTGATCTGGAGTCTGTCTAGAAATTCTGGCGTGGCGAATTCCTTGTGCAGGGTGTCTAGTTTGTCGCGGACTATGCCTATGGGTATTGACGACTTGGAAGATCTGGAATCGCCTCCTTTTGTAAGTTTACTCTGTTGGAGAGGATTGAAATGCGTCGTCTTCGAGGGCTTGGCTGGGGTGGAACGGTGTGCGGCTTGGATTCGGGGCAGGAGGTTTTGGGTTCGCGATCGAGAGCGGGCGGCGAAAGAGCAGATGAGACATAGCGAACTCCGTCGCGCCGGCAGCAGAGGCATGCCAATGGTGGGTATCATGCGGGAGAAGAAAGAAGGAAAGACAGAACTCAAAGCGCCAGGCGCCTGTACAAACGAAGAACGACGGGAATGTCCAAGTCGACGACGTAATGCCGAATAAAATGTTGCCAAGCATCTACCACCGTAGTACAGTAGGGACCTCCGGCGGCGCCTGCCCGCCGCAGCTCGCGACGCAACTCTAGCTGAGACGCGCCTTCCTCACCACCGCCGCGACAGCCCAGCACCACGTGTGCCTCGCCCCGACAGAGCTGGCCCACGCACGCCCTCGTCTGCGCATCACGTTACCGCTACCGCTTCCACCGCATCGCCTTTTCCCAGCGGCATTCGCTGCGGTACCCCGCCAACATGGCTTCCATGATCGATATCCAGCGCGACCGTAAAGACACACCGCGAAACTCCTGAGGAACACGTGCTGATAGGCCACATAGTCATTCTCAACTCGATCAAGCAGACCACGCGCGGCGACGTATGAATCTCCCCCCAATGCGCCTGCACTCCGCTAACGGCTACCGCGCAGTGGAAGATACTCATTGTGGATGAGGACAGCCAGAAGCTCATCAACAACGTGGTCAAGGAAGATGACATTCTCAACCTCAACATCACAAGTACGCGACTCCGCATGCCCCCAAGACGCCACATCCTAACCTCGCAGACATCGAGCGCATCGAGGAGCGGCGGCAGACGATCCGCGACATGGACGCCGTGTACATCATCACGCCCAAGCCACACATTGTCGACTGCATGATGGCCGAGTTCGACCAGCGCAGATACCGCGGCTTCTTTCTGATATGGACAACGCTGCTACCACCACACCTCAAGGAGCGCATCGACCGGTCGCAGATGGCGCGCGAGCAGATTCGGAGCTTCCGCACAGTGCACCTCGACTTCCACCCCCAGGAGTCGCACCTCGTTACCTTCAAAGACCCATGGAGCTTCCCCATCCTCTACCACCCCGAGTGCAACAACCTCGTAGTGCGCCACATGGAGGACATTGCCGAAAGAGTGGGTAGTCTACCTCTCCTGGCAGGCTTCTGCTGACAGCTCTAGGTCACCGGAATCTGTGTCGCACTCGGCGAATACCCCATCATCCGATACTACCGGCCGCGAGCTCCAACCCACGAGGCCAGCGTCTTGTGCTCACACCTCGCCCGCTTCGTCCAAGACAAGCTCGACATGTACGCGCAGTTCAACCAAGACTTCCCCCCGCAATCGAACCGGCCCCGCGGTGCCCTCTATATCACCGATCGATCCATGGACCTCATGGCCCCCTTCCTCCACGAGTTCACATACCAAGCAATGGCCATGGATCTGTTGCCTATACAAGACAGCGACAAGGTGACCTACCGCACCATTGTCAACGAAGAGGATCCTGAGGCGGAAGAGAAGGACATGGAGATATCCGACAAGGACAAGATATGGGTGGAAAACCGCCATCGGCACATGAAGGACACCCTCGACAAGCTGATCAGCGACTTCCAAAAGTTCATCGCCGACAACCCCCATTTCACGAACCAAGACGCCCAGAACGCTGCCGGAATGAATGGACTGAATGCAATCAAGGACATGATCGCTGGTTTACCTCAGTTTCAGGAGATGAAGGAAGCCTATTCGCTACATCTCACCATGGCGCAGAAGTGCATGGAGATCTTCCAGAAGCACAAACTCCCAGATCTTGCTTCAGTGGAACAGGTGAGTTCCATCAAGGTTGGCCCATGGCTGTCGCTGACCTTTCCAGTGCCTTGCTACCGGTCTTGACGAAGACTACCGTAAGCCCAAGAACATGACTGACCAGATTGTGCGCACATTGGACGATGAAGAGATAACGCCAGCTGACCGGCTACGCCTTATCGCGCTCTACGTAATCTTTAAGAACGGAATACTACCAGCCGACCTCCAGAAGCTCCTCTTCCACGCACAACTGCCACCCCCTGACGGTGACGTTATTCGTAACCTCGATCTTCTTGGTGCGCGAGTCGCCAGGCAACTGAAAGAGAAAAGAGATGCACAGCCACCACTCTTCCCACCGAAAGCGGCCCCACCTCCAAATACTGAGGACTACGGTCTATCAAGATTCAACCCGGCTCTCCAGGACATGCTAGAGGAGCACATCCGCGGCAGCTTACCCCAGGACGTCTTTCCCTTCACTAAGATGTCACCTGATGATGTCGCCAGCATGGCACAGGAAAATACTGCGCCTGCTTCCCTCCGCTCCGCAAAACCGACATGGGCTAAATCGCGACTTGCGAGTGCGGAGCCCCGTCAACGCGTGATTGTATTTGTCGCTGGTGGTGCAACCTACTCCGAGGCCCGCGCCTGCTACGATGTGTCGAACAAGACCTCGAGAGACGTCTTCCTCGTCACCTCACACATGATGAAGCCGCAGCTCTTCCTCCGCCAAGTCGGCGATCTCAGTCAAAACCGCCGAAGTCTGCGTTTACCCATCGACCAACCGCAGCCTATAGCCCCAGCACATCTATTCGAGAAGCCTGAGCCTCCGAAGCCAGCACCACCGCCTGCTGGTACCAAGCCTCCCATGCCCGGAGGTCTGCCATCCGGACCCAGAGTCGCTGGCCCGAAACCCCCAACAGCAGCCATGGGTGCCATCAACCTCAATTCCAACCCGCAAAAACACAGTCCTTCGCCGTCGCAGAGCAGTACCACAAAGCCCGGAAAAGAAGAGAAAGAGGGCAAAGAAAAAAAGAAGAAGAAGTTGCATCTGTTTTCTTCAAAGCATTAGTGAGGCTTGTTAACATTTCCTGCCAGGGCGCTGCATACCTTTCTGGCGTTGTTCTGCTTTGTTCACAGCGAGGATTGATCTTGCTTCATTTGCAATATTTGCGAGCTAACTTGCATGGCATGGCGTTGGATGGCGTCAAAGAATCTTGTCTGGCGATTGCCCAGGGTGTACAGCTAGAGACAAGGACTTGGGATTTTGCCGTGGGGGAATAGACGTAAGGCTGGTTGCCTCTACGATAGGAAACAAGATTACAAAAATTACACATCACAACATCACATTCGCATTGCTGTTTTCTTTGGCTTATCAGATCATGTCAAATTGTTTCAATCCACATACCCGATCTCCTTCTTCGATATCGGACAGCCTAGGGCCACACTCCTCGCTCTCATCTCCTCCCATCCCTCTTTCCCCTCCAACTAGTACGCCCATTTAGTCGAGTAATCCCTCGGACTAACAACAAGCCCCTTCCCCTTGCTCGCTCCCCTATACACAGCTTCCAATATATCAATCAACTCCTGCTTAGTCCCAATCGGGAAATTAATCTTGTTGTTATTGCCCGTGCCAAAGTCAACCTGCATGTGCTTGTTCCGCCAGAAGAACATGACGGTGCAGGGATCGTATATTTCGTACATGGCGTTGAAGTCGGGGACTTGCTGGTGGGGTAGGGGTGTTAGCGAGGTTTGGAGAGGGTGGGATGGGTAGGGAGGGACTTAGACAAGGGAAAGCACATTGTTGCAGATAGTGCGGAGGAGGGGATATCGAACACGGAGGGGGAATTACCTTGTTGTCAACTACATAGATGACGACCCAGTCTTTGACTGCGTCTACGATCTTGTATAGCATCTCGTCCATCTCCATGCATTCGGGTGTGTAGTCGGCGCCGAAACGGAGGCAGACTATGCGGGCTTCTTCGCTGAGCTGGTGGGTGTTAGTTTGGGTGTAGTGGAGGGTCGCACTTGACAGAGTAGGTCTGATCGGGTCGATGAGTGTAGGTAACGTACGATGGCTTGGTCAACGTGCCATGCTGAGGGCAGGTGCTGCAGCATTACCGAACCCATGGTGACGAGGTTCAATTGACTGTGATTCTCGGAGATGTATGAAGGGCAGAATGAGAAAGGTCTTGAACAGGCCTTGTGCGAAACAGGTGAGAGAGAAGCTGAGGAAAGTATGATCTGATAGACCCCATCACATGCCCCATCTACCTCCGTTTGCACCTTCCAAACCTCGTTTGCCCTCGCTGCAGACATCCCCACCTGCACCTACCCAAAAAGCTCTTTCCATGAAAAACTACAAATCATTCGCTAGAACAAAGAAACCACATGCCATAACTCATCAGTACAAACAAAACAACCCCAAATCTCAAACCAACACCCTAATCCCTCACCCCACCAGAATAATACTCCCCCACACTCCTCTCCGGCGCATAATATCCCTCACCAGTCCGCTGCTCCACATTCCCCGTCCGCTTCGCCACCATCTCCTGCACAAAAGCCTCGTAGCTCTCATACGGCCGCCCGCCCTCCTGTGGATGTCTTGCCGCCCAAGCAAGGAACGCGGCCTTCTGTTCTTCAGCCGCCTGTTGCTGTTGTTCCAACGACAATTTCTGTTTCTTCGCTTTCTTGCCTGTGACAACGGGCTGTGGGCGGCCGGTCACGGGGTTGCGACCGGCTGCTTCGCGCGCTTCAGCTAGGAGGTCGGCGCTCGTGGGTTCTGGATGTGTGTGCTGTTGGGTTCCGGTCACGGGATCACGGCTAGCTGCTTGACGGGCTTCGGCTAGGAATTCACTGTTTGGGGCCGGGGTTTTGGGAGCGGTGTGTTTTTTCTGGTATGGATTTGATTTCCCGCGGAGCTTGTTGATAGGGGAAAGTAGGGCTGATGTAATGGAGAGACCCGCCATGCTGCTGTAGACGGGAAGTAAGCCTTCACGCCTTTGCGACTTTCTTCTCTGGTTGCTGTGGGTATCGAATTCTGAAGCGGCAACCCCAAGAACCTGCCCTCGTAGTCTTTCAAATGTCGATGCAGGTTGCTGATGAAACTTTACGAAGAGACGTGGTCGCCAAGCGCTCTCTCTACCGTAATATGGCGTCGAGTTTAAGATTATATCGCGCTTTCCCAACTCTTTTGAACAAAATTATCCGACACTACTCTATACTTGCTGTTGTCTGAGACGGGAACACAACCTGGTTGGAGCCTGGAAAGTGTCAGGGGTCTGGGCGGTAAGGCCTCCAAGCTAACCGCATTGAGTGCCAGCAATGAAGAACCGGTCAAGTGCCAATAAGTCCAGTCGTACCGATCAGGTGCGGATGTCAAAATTGATGTAGGTGTATATTTAGACAGCGAAAGCAACAAGCTACTGGAGATAGCCTATAACTATGCTCTCATCTGGCGCAAGGCACAAGAGCTCCCGTACTCCCAATATTGAAACCCGACCGGCAAGATCAGGGCGCAACGGTACACCCGAGGCAATACTGACTATCGGTGTACCGTACGAAGAATCGAACAAATGTGAGAGTCCAAATGTATTAAGCGTGAGACCACTGAAAAGAAAGGTGAACAGCAAAGACGCCCGAGACAAGCTGATAAGTCAGCCGACCAAATTACCACATTCTGCCCTTACCCTTACTGCCAGCTGCTGGACTGAGCGGTGGAAACGCATCTTCGGCATCCTTCCGACTCTGCTCCTCAACAAGACTCAGTTGCATGGCAAATTCTAAATCTGACATTTCGCTCTCATTACTCGAACCAGCAGCGGCCTTGCCCTTCCCGGGCGTGCTCTTTTGGGAGCGGGATGGCGGAGACTTTTTGCTCTTAGCGTACTTGATCGGAATCTCGAACGCAAAAGGAGGCGTAGAGGCGGGTTCATAGCTGCCAGCTCCGAAGCTATCGTTGAGAGAAAGACGAATGGCTTCGGCGATGTCGGCATCCAGTTCGTCGTCGTTCTTGGTATCAGGCGATGAAGGTTGGCCTTGGGCGCTCGCCTCTGGCGTTACAGGCTCACTCTTAAGGGCACTGCTCTCGCGCTCGATGCGGCGTAGTTCGTCTGCCTCAGCAGCCTCTTGCGAAAGCATTGCAGCGTATGCTAGAGCCTCCTCCTCACTTAGTAGCTCCGTGCCAAAACGGCCTGCCAAACGCTCGGCCTGCTTGTGACGCTCTTGTCTATCACGCTCCAACTCGAACTGTTCGTTGGCAATGTAGTTCTTCAGGTTGACTCTGCCTGTACCGGCAAAGCGCTCTGTGGTATTGTTACTTCCACGCTCGGCTCTTCGCAGCCTGCGTTTACTGCTTCTATACTGATCGGCTGCAGATGAGCTGTAACTCCAGAATCGAAGCTGATTGCCAAGAGACACTGCACCGCGCAAGACAGTCGGATCAGGATCCAGGCATACGGCACCAGCAGCAAACATGTTGATGCCGACTCCTTGAACAGAAGCTTGGGCCTGCACAAGCTGTCTACGAGCACGCGACGCATGTCGGGAGTGAAGCGTTGTTATGGGCGACATGCTCGAAGCCAGTGGATCCCATGCCTGTACCAAGCCGTCGTTTCCACCTGCTACGAGATAAAGTGAAGTGACAGCCACGCAGGATATCTCTGGCGAGTCGGTGTAGATGATACGAACAGGCTCAATGTCGTTTGTGTACTCCGACGAACGTGACGTAGGCGCCCGGACATCCCAAAGCAGCACCACGCCAGACTTGGTACCAGCAGCGAGGAACCTTGCGCGCTGTCCAGGAATGTCAGAGGGAGAGGCCGGCTGGCTTGCAACAGACATGGGAGAAGAGTAAGGCGAGGATGCAGTCGAGGCAGTCGAGAATCCAAGCGCAGGATCCTCAAACAAGGTCAAAGTGGCAAAGGTAGAGACGTCCAAAGCAGTTGTAGTGACCTGAGTGCTCTTGAACCCGCCGAATGTAAGCTTTGAGCACCTCCATTCTTCGAATAGAGCGGCCCGTTCTGGTGAACTTGTGGTCGAGATGTATGAAGAGCTGCGACCACGAGGAGGCTTTGTAGAATTTGCGCTAGGGCCGCCGAATAGAGATGCAGCTTGCGCAGGCTGAGGCGTGAAAATGCGACTTGAGACGTTCGTAGTCTTGTCCTTTTCGTCAATCTTACAACGGGTGAAGCGTTTAACATCGGCGACGTCTCCCTCTTCAAGCCCGCATTCGAAGACCACTACGGATTCCCCAGCATGATTTCCATCGTCTCCAGCAAAGTCAACCTCGAGCGTTCTTTGCATATCCCATCCAAGGCATGCTTTTCGGAAATGTTTTGGCTGCTTGCGAAGATATTCTTGGATCTCCCTTGTTTCGGCGATGATCTGATCCTTGCTTAAGCACATCCCATCCCATGAGGTTCGCGGCGAATAACTACCGTCGACATCGGCATCGCTGTACGGGTCAGGCCTCGCAGTACGTCTGCTGGGCTCCACCAAGTTCCAGTAGACGGTGCGGCCAGTGAGCCAACCTAGATACTCCGAGTAGTGCTCAATGTCGCCTTTCGTAGCCTGGCTGCGAGTTGGGAATTTAGTAAGGTAGAAGATCTCGCCAAGTGCATTCAAAGCGACCGCCCAAATGCGGTTCTGAGCATAGCGCTTGGTTGAGTATTGTTCGTCGACGGCGATGGCAATGATAGGTACTCCCGGGCTGAGAACCCAGCGCGCAGTCAGCTCCCCACGCTGTACACGGGACGAGCGGAGACCATCTGTACCGATGCTACAGGCACTGACGACGCCAGCTGCAGATCCCATCATCATGCCAATCAAGCCATCCGAAAGCGTCGGGATCGTGTTTGACTTGGCGATCCAAACGCTGCAGATAGCACCGCCGTCGATGCCTAGCTTTGGTATACCAACTTCAGGCATAGCAAAGTCGGTGGGTTCAGCTATGAATCGACCACGCATCTCCTCAAGGGAGCGGTAATAACACGAGCCCTCTGGACAGCCCTGGCCATAGATCATACCGTATGGCTGCGATATGTCCATAACGTTGGGTCGCCCGACGACCTCTCCTGAGCCCAGACCCCACTCTGCGGTACCCGGAAAGCGTTCTGAGAATTGGCCATAGAAGTGAGGGTCACTCTGTCCCCAAGGATCCACCTTGCCCGTCATCGGATCGCTGCTGGTCACCATGCCGATATCGTCTGCACCATGGATGAAGCGCGGCATCTTCTTGTTCAAACCGGTTCCGAACGTGGCCTGCAAGTGGTTGATGATAGTATACGTTTTTGCATCGTAGGTAATCATCGGGGTGATGGTCTGCATCTGAGATGCGCGGGACGGTGTCGCAGGTACCTGTACAGGCTTGCCCCTGACCAAAGACCGCAATAGTCTCGTGCGTAGAATGTACTCGCTTCTCCACGATGCCAGCGCAGTGAGCCTGGTGAAGCGTCTCTTCTCTGATCGCACGACTGAACCACTGCCCTCGAGGGCTGAACGAAAGGCGGCATCTTCGAGTGAGTGTGGGCCAGGGAAGTAGCGACCGAATGCCACCTGCCAGGCGTGTGGGGTAGTGACTACATCATGGAAGCGGCGAGAGACTAGGGATACGGCGGCGAGATCGTTTGGTGACAGGTGGGCGATGGCATGGATCAGAACCTCTACGCATCGTCAGCTCTTATTCGTGCATTCGCGTTCCGCCCGTTCTGGAGGCATTTATACACACCATTAGGCAGGTTCGCGATAGGCGAGCTCTTATCGCTGGGCTTCTTGTTGCTCTTGACGATCTCGAAGAGGGGCCCGTCAGCAGGCTTTCGCGGTGAAGACTTCAGCGCATTTTCGTATTCGGTGATCCTGTCCCTCGGGGGTGGCGAGGGAGACGCGACGCGCTTCAGTCCATCTGTTTCCACGGTCCCGACTGTACTCTCGGCCTCTGAACGCGTCGCATCGCGTGCGAACCCGCGGGGTTGTGGCCCAGACTCTCCCCGCAGCTCACCCGAGTGAGGCTGCAGAGAGACCTGGAAGTCAAGGCTGCGGCGCTGTCCATGCTGGGAGGTGGTGGCGGTGTCGAAAGAGGTTTGCTGGTACGAAACGTTTTGTGATGCGTTGATGGGCTCTGGCTGCATAAAATTTTGGGTCTGGTTCTTGGGTGAGGGCAGTCGACCGAGCTCGTTGGAAATGCTCAGTCAGAGGATGTATGCGTGGGCGAAATTTGGGTAGTTTGGTAACGTTGGAGTGGAAGGGAGATTGGGGGGTGCAGTTGATGACTCGGTTTGCGGTTGCCAAGTCGGCGGTGATCGATATGACGATCGCCACTCAGGGAGCTACGAACGTGGGGGGAACAAATGATACTAACAGTTTGCAGCAGTGGGTCGACTATCACATGGCGTGTGGAAACGTCACCACTATCTAGGTGCGGCCTAAGTACCTGAATGTAGCCGGCCTCGTTCCGATAAGTTCCGAAGCAACAGATGCTTTGCCGTCTACATGAGTGTGAAGGTGAATGTTGGCGATATCCGCATGGTAATGTAGACTCCTATGAAGTATGTTTTCGATCGATTCTCGTATAATGTGCTATCATGTACAGGATCATGCAAACAAATGTTCAACGCCAGCCCTATGCAGACCCCTAAAATTTCAAGGCACGAAAAGACGAGAGTATGCAGCCACATTAGTCCTGCAACACACACACGCCGTATAGTTCTTCGAAGCCAGACCCACCCGACAGTCGTCGCACAGGCTCAAGCACCCACATGGCCACACCAGGACTGTCCTTGGCGACATCTGGCAAACTACACATTGCGGTCCCTCTGAGCCCATACCTTCTGCACCCGTGTCCCAGCTTCCAGCTGTACTTGCGCCCTGCGGCGCCGTTGCGCTCCGACGACTGAGTATGAGATCTTCCAGAAGTTGCTCTTCTTCTTCGGGCGACATGTTGACGCCGCCACCGCTCATCTTATAGCGTGAT